TTTAGAAATTTCGCTCAGATATTTAACAAATACTATATTTTAATGTAATAGAGAGCTTTTTTTAAAAAACTAAAAAATTATTAATAAAGTTATTAAATTTTTGTTAAAAATATATGTATTTCATATAGATCGTCATATATATTACACAAAAATTTGATCTAATCATTTTTATATGGGACTATACATAAATTTGATCTACATAGTGCACCGAATACCCCAGCGTGCCATCCTGACCTTAGTCCTTTTAACTTGATTAACGTTAATATTAACATTACTGTAAAATTTTCCGTGATCGACAAAACATGTCACCCTGATCAGCGACAGGCAAAACTCTTGGTGCTTAAATTAAATTTATTGATGGGACTACGGTGATATTGGTCATATGTTTGTGGTGATAAGCTTACTGTTTATTAGTGCGATCTTATTCTGATGGCCCACAGATTGAGATCAACATCCCGGTAACAAAAAAGCTGACTTTACTGATTGAGATGTGTTCGTCTTCAGTGCCGTCTGGGAATGTAAAACAGGCGCAGAGTCAAGATCTGAGTTCTGCTAGCGTGGTTATGTCACGACTTGCCGGCCACCGGAAATTTACCGTGATATTGCGACCATACGAAGCGGAGCAATTTATATCTTTAGCAGTGACTATGATGTGGATATTTTTCGAGGGTGGTGTCTCGATCTTGGGCCAATACTCTTTTATGTCTCTGCTTATATCTTATATCTTCTCACATAGGGTATCCACATAAATCTGTGTAACCATATGCGTAATCTTTATGGCTCGCATAAGATATTTCATAAACTTGCGTAGGATCTGTGTTTCAAATTCTGAGATGTAATTTAACCTATTTTTTACTTAGTAATATGAATTAAAGTTTATACAAATATATATTTAAAAAATTATTTTAAAAATTAATAGCTATTAAAGACATACTGCATCAACATCTAATTACATTACAATGTTCTTGCTCTTAAACATCTTATGGATGCCCGTACCAAAACTGATTTAATGTAATAATAAATAAAACCTCACATTTTTTCTTTGCTAACTAAAGATCTTTTAGAAATTAATAAAATAGTTCTTTATAATCCAAAAAAATTAAAATGCACCAGCGTTAACCTAAATTTTATCAAAAAAATAAAATATTCATCAATAAATAAATCGATAAGTAAACATAAAAAAATACTCCAAATTTATATCTACCCTATCCTTTAGATAACCTAGCCATTGGATATAACTCATGACGGTGTCTGTACGATCTTCTATAATATGAGAGAGGAACCATAATCTTAACGAAGGATCGCCATCTTGCTTTACTATATATAAGTGCGGATAGTATACACCGCGCCGCGACTCTCGGGTTTTACCAATAATAGCGTTCACTCGTTGTGAAAAAGAGGTTTCTAGTTGAGGCAAAGTCGACTATAACAAAAGAAGAGTTTAGCAAGAGAATGGGTTTGTCTTCACGTGAAAAAAATAGAACTTACCTTTCCTCCGCGAATTTCTTCGTATGTTCTGACATTAAATAAATCTATGAATAATTGAGGAGACACGTCTTTCCCTACCCATATAAAGATATTTTGTCCATCTTCAACTAAGTATATTCCATGGCGTTCTAATTTCTCACTGGTCAAATTCAATGGTACGGGCATTATAATTCCATCGGGACCATGTGTTCCAACCTAATTTATTTGAATATTAATAATTTATGTAGGAGGTAAAGGATACGCCAATTTAACAAATAAAAGCTTACCTCCAACGGCATATCATGCAATGAATAGAAACGCGGGTGTAGGTAGGTAATTAATAATTGTGATGGCATTGTTGTCAATAAACACATGGCATAAGCTCGCAAGTCAGTAGGAATTTGAGAACTGGCACGAAGTCCAACCTAGATGGGCAAAGATTAAAAAAATGTATATTTTTCCTAATATGAACGAAAAATGAATACCTACGTGCTTCAATAACCCTAAAGATAAAAGTGGCAAAAGTTTTAGATTGTCGCTTATTTGCAATTGAGGCGAGGCGCCGGTATGTGCAGGTGTAAGAGCAGATTTGTATACGCCTAAAATATCTATAATCTTATTTGTTAAAGCTTCTCGTGAGTCTTCCAATTTAGAAGTTAGAGATCGTTCAACCGCTAAAATTAATAAAAGTTTACGATGAATAGTAGATCAGCAAGAGACATCAATATTAAAGCTTTTTATTTAATTTCAAACCTTTATTTGCTAGTAACGTGGTAATGGCTACTTGATCTGCGGAAGCAAACATTTCACTCAAACTATTTGTCACAGGTAGTGCAAGTGTAAGAACTCGAATTCGCCTCTCGCCTAACATAGTTGGAAAAAACTTGTAAAAAATACATTAATAGGAAAAAAGTCCAAGATAATTAAAATCGTACCATAGCAAGTTGTATGTAAGACAGCAGTTTGGAAACAAACAGTCGGTGTAGTTAAATTGTCTTCGATTGCAAGCTCGATAGCATACGAATGATCCCTCGATACATTTGGCAAAGCGAGCAAATCCGTTTGTCGAACAAAAAAGTTTCCGTGAAATGAGGTCATACGTATACCTAAGAGGAAAATCTCAGCATACAAATAAATATTCGTTTAACGTAGCATAAATTATAAAATTGGTTACCTTTAGAAGCTCTGACTCTCATTACAGCTTCTAATCCAATAGGACTTGCTAAAAATTCAGCAAATTCATGCGCAAATTTAAGAGCATCTTCCGATCGACCAGCATTAAACGCCGGGTAAAAGTATGTTTGTCCTCCAGTATAACGCGGACAACAACCTAATAATTAGAGGAACCGTAATAAAAATATTAGTTATAAGTGAGTAGAACTAAACTGGTTTTTACTTATTTAATGTTCATACTTAGAGTTGCTACATCCGAATATTGAGAGCCAAGTAAGAACATATCCACGCAGACTTGTGAACGAGAACAATCTACTGCAAATTTTTTGTAGAAAGGATCGGCAGATTGTAGTAGTGTTGATTCCTTGATGTGATAAAAAAATTAATATAATTATAAGCTTCGGAAAATTCTTTGAATGCATTTATCATTATATAATAACATACCTTTTGCGTTCCCAGAGCTTTTGTATCTTCGCGATTTTTTAAGCCTCCAGGATTTATACTTGGTAAACTAGACTGCACCACTATAAGCTTGCCTCCCCAAGACGACTAGTATTTACATATATCAATTTTTAGTAATTGACATATAGTATAATAGTTTAAATCCATTTTTAACTTACAACTAATTTAAATCCAGCCGATAATGCTGAACCTAAAGCATTTCCAACAATTTGAGTGTCCTTAAACATATCCCCAAGACGATTGAGTAATGATTCAACCACAGTCCGAGCTTCTGACAAGTTTACCAATAAATCATCAGGTTGAGGAAGAAACACGTCTTCAAGATCTGATACAACGAGCATCTGCGGCTCAGTTGTATTGGGCTATATTAAGAAATAGATATCATTGGCTTTGAATTTTTTATAAACCTTCTAACGTTGAAACATACACTTAGACTGTAGAAATGCAATGAGGTGTCCACAGTAATAAACCCAATTTTCGTGCGATTATCCTCATTCGGCAGTCTATCCAAAGATTCCAATATTGTACGTGCTGCTGTCGCGACAATTCCTATATTTTAAAAAATAAAAAAAAACATTAATTTAATGCACATTAAAATTTTTTCACCATATTATTATCTTACCAGATTGAACAGCAGGAAATGAAACATCAATTACAAACAAATAAACTGGTGGTTGTGGCGGTCGAACCTATTCAAAAAAGATATGATAAATCGTTAAATTCAAAGAAATCTTTCAAATTCAATATTAATTATGGATATAAAAAAATTACCATATATTCTGTTGGTGCCACAAATTCAACTACAGCATGATTCAACTCTGCACGTTTCCAACGGTCAGTTGGTGCATTTGATTGTATATCCCAGTCGAATTGATTTGGAACTGAAAATTGAAAGAATAGAGTTTAATCACCCATTCAACTTGATGAATCTTATTCAAAAATTAAGTCTTAATACCTTCATTCAATAAGAAACACATATTACACCTCCATTTATGTCCATTTTCAACAAATGTAACAAATGGATTAATATAAGTTCTACATCTCCGACACCTTGCAATAACAGTATCCGTGACAACTGGAACAGGCTCCTAGAAGATTAAATTAATCAATAAAAAATAATTAGCTTGATGAAAGATGTACCATTAAAAATCACTAAATTTTAACAATATACCCACGTCGCCGTCTTTTACACTTCTATATGGAGTTATAACAAGTGCAAGCGGCAGCCTGGATTTGTTGAGAAGCGCAGAGGTTGCGGGGATGGTATTTAAAGTACATCTTTTGTATGAAGGATCACAATTGGCGTTCTCAGAACTGGTTACCGATGACTTTGAAGCATAAAAACAAGAGATGTTATAAAATAAATAAATAAATATTATATCACGAAAAAATACTCACATTAGGCGGCAAAATTATTGGTGGAGGTGGAGCATCCAAATCTCTGACATTTGGTTGAAAGCCAATCAAATGGACAGTATGTGATTGAGACTTGTTAAGACATATTAAAAAATAAGTTTTTTTAATCATTTATATGAGATTTCTTAAATAACATAAAAAAATCAATGCAATACTTGAGACAGCCCATTCATAGCCATGTTACTAAATTGATTAGTCAAAGTGCCCATGGAACTTTGCGCTGTTGGAGGTTGTCCGTATATTTCTTGACCAATACCAGGTGTTGCTGGTGTAAACGTTTGATCATATACGTTTGTAGGATCCGTATATGTCTCTGCCATTTGTTGTTTTGGATATTGACGTTTAGGTAGTGGACGTGTATTGCTAAGTTGGGGTGAAGTATTAGTATTTGCAGGAGAGACTGGTATTTCAGGAAGAGGAGGTGATGCAGTTGTTATATAATTTGGTGGTTGAGCATTCGGTGTATATCCATATCCTGTTTGTGGTTGCATTACATTAATTGGACGTCCAGTTGAAGGCGGTGGTAAGGGCCCTGGTCTAAAATGAGGCGAAACTGATGGTCTAACTCCCGGTAATGCACTATTCGAAGCTAAATAAGGTTGACCTCCAACTGGAGGAGGAGCGCCAGGAATTGCGCCAGGAATGCCGCCAGGTGGTCGCATTCCTAAAGTTTGAGGACGAATTGCACCCGGTGGTGGAGATTGAGGCCGAGGAGTCCAATTTTGATTTGGAATTCCTGGCGAGTTTGAAGGTCTATAGCCCACTGGGGGTGGAGAAGGACGAAAATTTGGCGAGGGGGGAGGACGAAAAACAGGTTGTTGAGTGGGTGGTGGAATATTTGCCATTGGTGATCAAGAATTAATTAGTTTATTAGTAAAGAAGTTATATTCTACCACTATATAATTAAGAACAAGAAAATTTTATTGTTGCTGTCAACTAATTTTTTTTGTTCATCCACTCATTCATTACCACGATCAGAGTTATGTGTCGCTATAATTTGACCATCATTATACATTTACATGTATAAAAATAAAATTATATGTCAATCACAACCGTGGGGATTATAAAGATCTTGGTATAAATAGGTTGAAGAGCAACAACTAATAATAATAATAATAATAATAATAATATTTCTCCTGACGATTTACCAAGTGATTCTAGAGACAGGAGTATTGATAATTTTACGTGTTCTATTATTAATTAGTCACGGGATTTTTAAAAGACGCGACTTTGTAATTCCGTCTTTTAACGTAAATTTTGCAAATTTGCTTATGTCTACAAGAAACAAATGCGAAACAATTTTATCTAACTTGTAATTTTCCCTTTTTCAGGATGAATTCATTTCGTTTTTCGCAATCTTTGAATTGAAATAATCGACTGAGAAAATATTGGCTTGTAAAAGTATAACTAACAAAAATCCGCCCGTCTAAACTTGTCAACAAAGAAGAAAAATCCAAAAATTTTGTTAGATTATTATTATATTATAAAAATATCCGAAAATAGTAATTTTATTATTATGCAATTCTAATTATGATATTCTAATGGTCCCTTCTTATTCGCCCGAACTCATCTATTCGCTCAATAACATCAGGAGCATTATTGAGATTCTGCCGAGAACTATTACTATCATTATGATACAACCCTCTACCATCGTATCCTCCATCTCCTCGTCGTGATTTTTTATAGTCTGATGATGCCGGTGTTGTATTAAATTGATTGCTGGGTCTATCTGGCAATGGTTGTGGTTTTTGATGTTTAGTATTTAAAGAAATACTACTACTACTACTACTGCTACTACTACTACTATTATTATTCCCATCCATTCTTTGTTGCTTTTCTAGCCAATATTGTTTACAGTACGATTCATTTTGTTCTATTACATTTAGATATTGCGTGTAAGATTCTTTGGATTTGAATCTTGGTTTATAAGGATTTTTTCTTATAAATGCACTAACGTTACTCTCATATCTGAGATCCGACAAATATAAAATCGCATCATTTAATTCTTCGTCTCTTCTGGAGCGATGAAGTTCTAAATCATATTCATCAAGATGGATGGCATTATACGGTTGCAATTGAGCTTTAAGCGGCGAATCATCAATTAGCAGCGTATTGTTTTGACTCCATATTGGTGGGTTTTCTCGATTTCTATTTTGGTTATTAAGCCTCTCCCAAACAATTTCCAAGTCTTTTATGGTGAGCCATTTTTGACGATACTGAAACGTCGTCAGACCAAACGAATCACGTGCCCACATATCAACCAAATTACTGGAATGTCTTGGCGGAAAGACTGCATCAACAATTTTTTTGACGTTATTTGGGGCAGCTGAAGACCATATCATCACATAAAATCTTTCAAAAATATAGTCCAAGAACTGCATCAAAAACGGCCGTGAAAATATTCGATTGTTGTGTGATTTGTCACGGTATACGAGAGTACCGTTCAAATCTAGGATTATTAATTTTGGATCCGATCTTTTTAGTGTTATTGATTTTTGGTTGACTGCATTTTCAAGGTAAGCTAATGACGGTGGTTCCTGCTTGTTTGCATCATACAAATATCGTTTACTAGCTATCGCTTCTTTTTCCCAAAAATAGTAAATTACAAATTAATACTTGCCAAAAAAAAACAAAGATTTATTTGGTTAGTTATTATGACATTTACCACTAAAGGTAGATATCCCTCTCCGAGGGTGAATAAATTTAATACCTGCCAATAATGATAATAATGTTAATTAATTTCATGTAGGGAATTATACTCTATCATTTATCTCAAAAGCTATACGATGCATTATTGAGACTGTTACGTACAAGCTTTTTGAAGCGAAAAGGAATATTAGCTTCGTTACTTACTCTCAGTTAAGAGTTGCATTCGAGCTTGTGAGCTCATTTATTATGAAAGTTGATTAGAAAAGATACAAGGACAAGAATTGATGTGCACACACAACACATGATGATATATAAGCTGTTAAAGTCGATCTTTTGGAAATATAACAACTGGTTTATTAAAGATCTTTGAATGTAAATGATGCATGATTACCTCCATATAGCACATATAGCAGACAGGATAATTATTCTTTTTATACTTAAAATAATTTCTATTATAATATAAAAAAGTTGAAAATACAAAATTTTTAAAGTGAATTATATAACTAGAAAGCTTTTACTATTTATTTATATATTGTCAAGAAACAAGTTTCAGCTAAAAAAAAAAAAACATGAAAATAACATATCTATTTTTTGTAGCTGAAACTTGCTTTTTGACAATATATAAATAAATAGTAAAAGCTTTTTAGTTATAATAATCACTCTTATCTGTATTTAGTAAAATCTCTAATTATATAATCATATATTAATATTTGTTAATTAATTGAACAGTGATATTTTGATATAACATACGTAATTGATAAAAAATAATATTTGATATGATTAAGCATTTTGTTTTAATCATATCATACCAAAATGCTCAATTATATGTACTATGCTTAATAGGTTATAATCCACCCACCCATGAACATAAGTTGGCCAGTGATGAAAGATGATATAAAAAATACAAAAAAGCTCGTGACACTAAAAAAAACCTGTTTTTTCTAACAAAGAAATAGATTATTGTTCATCGGTAAATTTATTTTTTAAACTATTACAATAGATACAAGTCAAAATAATAAGATCTTGTCTAAATATTGTGAAATTTTTCTAAATACTCGGATGTATACATTTTTCTTGAATGACGGAAGATTCCGTTGTAAGTGAAAAAATATGTGATTAGAAAAATTATAACTAACTTATCTTTATAATCCCGGTAATTGGAAATTCGTAATTTGCGGGAGATATGCACACGCTGAAAGGTCCAACACAAAAACTTCATCAAATACCGAGTGGCCGTCATAGCCACCGAATACAAATAATCTCGAGTCGTATAATACCGCAGTATGATAGCCTCGACCCGAGGGTGGTGAACCGTAAACTTTACGAGTTTCCCATTGCATTGTTACTATTATCATTCAATCGTTATAATTTCAGCAAAAAAATGATATAGAATCGGGAAATTATCTACAAGTTAAAAAAGACCTACCTAAATTTAAAAGTAACACATCGGAGGTATATTTAGTTCCGTCGTGACCACACACGACAAACAAGTATGAGCCTACTTGAGTCGCTGTGTGCGAGAGTCGTGGATAGGAACTTTCCATGGCAATATTAAACCATGTATTTATTTCTAAACATCAAATAATCAGATTAGATAAAACGTATGGGAGAAGAAATAGCCACTAAGTATTGCTAATCATTATCTAATTCAAAATGATACTCATTTCTAACTTACCTAAATCTAATACGTGAATGTCTTTGAAACATTCATGCCCGTCGCTTCCACCATAAACCACCAATTTGTTTCCCACCAAATTACTCGTATGATATCCTCGAGATATTGGTGGCGTTCCCAAAGGTTCTATCTTTTCCCAAACTAAATTATTCAAATCTGAGATGTTTAATACATAAACATCGTTAAGGGCACGAACACCATCACCACCACCAAACACATATATACGATTATTATAATGTGCTGTGGTGTGTGCTCTTCGTGGTGAAGGTACATCTCCTGTTGTGAGCGGACGGCTCCATGTGAGGCTATCTATGAAGTAAGAATTGATTAATATTTATTCAAATAATTATAAAAAAACATTTTTTAGTAATAAAAATTACCCGTATCAAAAATATATAAATCATTAAAATAAATAGGCCCATCTCCACCTCCAAAAATAAATAGTTTTTTATCCACCAGCGCCGACGAGTGGGCGCGGCAGGCTGGAGGTGGATCTCCATAGACCCTTGGTTTACACCAATACATTGTATCTGTGGGATAATAAAGTTGAATAAAAAATCAAAGTTAAATTATAAAAATTTATTAAAATAGAATACTTACCAGCATCAAAAATATACACGTTATTAAAACATGTTCTGGCGTCACACCCTCCGAACACGAACATCAACTCCCCAACTAAATTTACAGTATGAGCTCTGAGTGCACGAGCAGGGGATTTTCCGTGCGTCCGTATTTTTGACCAATACATTGCAGGTGCAGGTGCTGCAGGAACAGGTGGAGCAGGTGGAAGTGTTGGCTCATTATTTAGCAGATTATTTCCTTTAAGCTGGTGGGTATAATGATTTTTCCTTGCTCTGAGGTTATTGGTAGGATTAACGGAAATTGATTGACGTAATGCTGATGTGCTATGATGATGATTCATTGGATTTGGACGGCTACGTGATGAAGCGATACTATTTGATGAGGTTGGGAAAGTAACTTGAGGATAATTATTTGGCGGTGGATTCATAAAGTGTGAATTATCGCTATAATGATTTGATGGCGATGTTGCTGCGTTATTATGCATGCGACCACGTGGAGAACTGGAAGAGGGTGAGAAATTTCTTGATGGAGATCCATTATTATGAACATTGGATGATGATATTGATATTGATTGAACATTCTCATGTGATATAGATATATTAGAAGATTCTCCCAATTCACGATCGGTCGGACTATCCTCGTCTCCAGCTTCTGTAAAACTAGACTTTTTTCTAAGAATTCAAATAGGTCGATTAATAGATTGGTAAATTCTATGATAAAATAGGACCCGCATTGATGAGCGTGTTGATTATTTAAATGTTATATTATATTTTCATTATATTCTTTAAAAACCATTAGGAAAAGAGGTTTTTTCTTGAAAAATAAAGATAATTCACCGGTTAGACCGTTTTATATCCTTGAATTACATGTTCTTATTGAAAAAATATCAAAAATAAAATGTCGTATATAGTTACCGAGAAAAAGAAGAGAGCAAAAACTATAAGCATACCTTGTTTGATGAGGTGTACTAGTGTTCAGCGTTGCAAGTGGTTTTGATGGACCAGGATTGCTCGACATTATTATATAGGCGGAAGAAAAATTTCAAGAGTATAACTTAAAAAAGGAGCGATGAAAAATCAAAAGGTTCGTTGAAAAACACATCAGACAGAGTAATAGGGTTACTACTAGTAAGTTGCAATCACAAAATATTGGTCTTGACGAAAAGTTGTAGGATCTTTTTGATCAAAATTGTATGACCAAAGTCTATTTTTGTAACCTCTGGATGGACCAGTAGTTAACCTTATCGCGATAAATTCATGAGTCACTTGTTACCATTTTTGTGCACTTTTTAATTATAATAAACTCAATTTTCGATAGGTTCTAATTCTGGCTAGAATTAAAATTATCCCAATATGATCACGTGTTTTCGCGGAGTTGAGAAATCTAGATTTCTCCCGAAATACTTATTTCTTTTATAGTACACGACACGGCCAAACTTTAATAAATATAGGCTACATATATTTATGCGGGAAAAAGTGTCTTCATATCTAAACATATGCACCCCTTATTTAATAACACAATCACGTTATCAACGTCAATATTCCTGTAATCACTCAACACTCTATAGTTATACCCAAATCATCCAAATTACAAGAAAAGATTGATAATAAATAAAATAATTGAATAAATGATTGCAATAATTTAAGTTACTATATTAGAGATAAATATCATTAATGTCTATTAATATCGATTCATGAATTTTTTAGGGATACTAAGTAATAGATAGATATTTGACAAAGTTCATTTTTATCGATTAAGGCTTACCAAATCGAAATAATATTTCAGTGGTTAAATTTTCAAAATCATCATTAATAATACAATGTAAGTGGCGAGACCCATTAACCCAGTGAAGAGTACATATCCACCACTCGTTACGAAAGGTTTTGATAAATCGAAGACATCCTTATTGTGTTGGCGGCGGATATATGCAATACACAGCATAACCACCCCATATGCGACAAACACCAGTCCAATTCTGTAGAATGCAGGCTCAAAGATGCGTAAAACGACTAGGGCGAAGCCGAAAGAAGATAAACACGTACGCCAGTATGCTCCTTCGAAAGTTCTTTGACGAGCTACTCGATTAATTTTATATATGATTAGATTCTGACTCGATAATAATATTGAATTTGTTGCCATCAGCTTCATTTACGATGTTTGTGTGAAATACACGTTTCTTACCTCTATAAGAAAAGTTTCATTATGTATGTATTAGTAACATAAAAACAAAATGCTTTTATTATTATATTATTTATATATGCTTATTACCTTATCTCGACTAATTCTGCCTCGGTCATGGTAATCTCTTCATTCGACATTATTTCTAATAAGTCTTAAAGTTTAGAGCGGTAAAATTTGATTTCCGCGTTTTTTACGCCTTATCATTATCGTTATAACACGCAACAAATCGAAATGGTTTCTAGAAACTCGTTCCACGTGCGCGCTTAAAATGAAATTACACAAACAATGGAGTGCATGGAATGCCAAGTTGGCAAAGTAAATCTTTGATTGTGATCATAGATCATATTATATACCCTTCTCAGTTTTCACCATTCCAAAGTTAATTATACTCTTCCTTAGTTGTATTCCACCTTCTATTTCTCCTCTTCTACTTAGCATATAATTTATTTAATAATAATGTCTTTCAATGATTTGGAAAGAGGTGATGATAGAAGCGCTTATGGTTCCCGTAGCGGGCGTCTTTATGGAACTCCGGGGTCTGCCTCAGGTGGTAAGTACACTTAGAATCCATACACATTCTCCCTCTCATGACTTAGTAATATTATATTATTTAGTCAACCAAATGTCAATTTTTACAGATAACTCTTGGAAATACTTCCAATTTGTCTACCTTGCGAAATTGTTGCTTTTTTAATATTTCAGGCTCATTTGGAACTCATCGGATATTGAATACTAAAACTTTGTAGTATCCCTCCAACCATTAGACGACGACAGACAATATAAAACGTTAAAGAAAAATCTGTCTCAACAAATTTTTGTGATCACCAGTAATGTGGCTTCGATACAGAAACTAGTGGGGCTTTTGGGAACAGCAAAGGATACGCAAGAGTTAAGGCTTAGACTGTAAGTATATCGATATATTTCATATTTATCAGGCATCTGGAAAAGTCACTGTAAATAAATTTCAAAATTTGATTTTGTGAAAATAATTAATTAGACATAAATTAACCGACGATACGCGCGATCTGGTCAAAGACACAAGTAACGATATTAAAAAACTATCTCATCTTGAAGGAAGTAGTGGGCAAACCGAAATCAAGGTATTAAAAACGATTTATTTTTCATTTAGACATCCGGTTTGAACTATTTTTACTCACCTTCGATCTATTAATAGCGGGCACAACAAAAACGTGAACAGCAAAAACTTTCACAAGATTTTCAAAAGACACTTCAAGAATTTCAAAAAGTGCAAAGACTTTCTGCTGAGAAACAGCGAGAATATGTCGATAAAGTGAAAGCTCATAATGTTCGAAATGATGTTTAGTAAGTAAAAAGACATTTGTGAATCTCTGAATTTCGCAAAAAATATTTTGTTCAATCCTGGTATCCATTTAAGATAATTACAATATATTTATTATATAGTGATGAAGAAGCGGGTATTTCTGAAGAACAACCTCTTATTGATGATTCGCAACGTCGTCTTCAGGTTCAAGTTCTCGATAATGAAATAGAGTATAATGACTCATTGATAGCAGAACGTGAGGAAGAAATTAGAGAAATAGAACAAGGAATCAACGAACTTAATGAGATCTTTAGAGATCTGGGTACTTTGGTAACGGAACAGCAGTCAATGTTGGGTATGTTTAATCTTTTAAAATCCTTAGTTATTTGCTGATAATTAATTCTATAATATAATATAAATAGATAATATTGAAAGTAATGTCGACAATATTTCATCCAATATGCGAAATGCGGCCGAAGAGTTATCTGTTGCTGATCGATATCAAAAGAATGCTCGAAATCGGATGTGCTGTCTTTTACTAATTTTCGCGATTGTTGGTGCAATAGTGGTTTTAGCGGCCTTGGCTTAGCGAAATGAATAGGTTTTTCACACGAGCTCTATTGCTTCAACCGTATAATCAGCTTTGTAGATTTAGTAATTTCTCTCTACTTTCTTTTACTATATATCTATTATTGATCTTGTTGTATTTTTACGAACATTCTCTTTTATCATAACGGGGCAGATAAGATTAATGCTAAAAATATTTATTAGTTTGTTTGTTTGTTATTTGATTATGTTCATTTTGCTCTTGGAATGATGTTATTTTTCATATTTAAGCCGATTAAGCTTTAGTTTATTAACGAATGAATACTCGTTATTTTGGCAAACACTCTCATCTAACTAAACTATTCTTGGTAAAGTGAGTGAGTGAGGTTGGCCTATTAAAATAGATAGCAAACTAATAAGAAATTTAATGGTGCAATTTCATTCTCATAGCACTTTTACTCGAGACTTATTATGATTATCACTGCTCAAAGATCGAGTTATTGTTATTATTTTGTGCTAATTTTTTTTACAGAAATATTAATTATCAATGGAAAATTAAATGATTTTTAGTTTATTATTCTTATTAAAAATTGTACAACAAAGAGTGTTTAATTTACTTGTAAATATTATATTTATTTGGTATGATCAAATTCTTTTATAGTTATCTTTTTTGAAAAAGTCAAATTGGATAATTATAAAAGAAAATTTTTTTCTTATAAATTATTTAGCTTAAATAAAAATATATATTTATAAAAATGCATTCTTATAAAAAATATAATTATAAAAGAATTTGTATTTTATTTTTTTAGATATTAATTACATTTAAAAAATTAATTAGTATATATAGTAACTTTCAAAAATGAATTTCTTTTTATATAAAAGTTTTTAATTTTATTAATAAATATTTTTTATTTTTATATTAAAATAAAGTTCATAATTTACATTTTAAGATTTAATCTAACAAAATTATTTTGATTGCAAAATTATTGTAAAAATTTTTTATAATTAATTTTTAATTATAAAAATTGCAATTAGAAAAACTTTCTTAGAAAAAATCTGAAAAAAATTATGTTAAAATAATATTATTATTTGTATTTTTGGATAAAAATAAAAAATATTGATTAATAAATTGAAAAATTTTATACAAAAAAAATTTATATTTTATTATATTTTATTAATACTATTTTATTTCTTTTGAGAATAACTATATAAAACAAAAATTTTAATTTTTACTATATTTTATTAATAAAATTGCATAATTTTGAGAGTTATTATATAAAAGTCAGTTTCAAATTTTTTATATTAAAATTTAAATCAATTTTAATATAACAAAGTTTTTAATTATTAAAAATATACAGTTTATTATTATATTTTGTATTGGCTGGTTTGTTTGATTTATATTTACTAACTTAAAATTATTTAATTAATCAAAACTAATTTTGAATACCTAAACAAGAATCAATATTAAAATAACAAATATACAAATAGAGATTTTCTTGCAATTTATAAATTCTTTTTGCTAAATGTTTTTTTACAAAATATTAAAATATCCAAATTTTTATGAATATTCCAATTTTATATTTATTTTAAATATATTTAAAGCAAATTGGCAATATAAATAACAAAAGGTAGATTTACTTTGTATTAGTAAAATAAATCATTTTCATCTATTTCACAAAGATAATCAAATATATAACAATTAGAGAAATAAATTATTTTGCTATATATATTCTTTCTTAATCGTCGTCCATATCTGCATTTAATGTTTCCTAAAAATACAAAAAACATAAATTAAAAAATATTCTTGCAGCAAAAACACCGCCAATAGCAACACTAACTTTTGCTATTCTTTCAGCCTCCAGTGCTATTTCGGTAGGAACGAATTGATGTCGCTTGTTATCAACAGTTACCCAACTCAATTCTAGTTCGAATTCTTTGTCCTTGGCGTCATCGTGGACAGTATAGATGCTTTGTTTTTTTTTTTGAATAAGATTAAATTTATTGTTCGAGAAGGAATAAATAAAATAATGAGAATAAAAGTTACATACATTCTAGTTGCTTCCCTGACAGCATCCAATGCAGTCATTTCACTAAGTTTCAACTTTTCAATTTCTGTTTTTGCCACTTGCTTTCCCTTTCCAATCGCACATCCATGATATCCCTGAATAAATATATACACAAATAATTATTAATAATGGTTGAAAGAATTAAATAAATTGATTTCTGAAAAGATGACAAGACATGACATACCCAATAGACACCTGACGGCTCAACCATAAACAACTGCGGCCCCTCTTCATCAACAGTTCCGATGATAGTACTACTACCGAACGGACGTGCGCTAGAATATAACGTATAAGCTTGTACGTATTGCCCTACTCTGTCTGCGATTGCCTGTATATGAGTCCAAACTGTTATCTCTTGATTAACCCTCTCGAAATTATTTAGAAGAGATTAATAATAAAAATGTATGATCGTACCTTGCCGGGAATTGGGGACCTGTATGTATCCCTGTAGTTCTCTGCCTCATCTCTGGCTCGATTGATAATATGACGGCCGTCTGCTAGTAGTCCAGCCGTTGCCTGATTTTGGTATATGTTAATGTATATAATGTGGTAATTTCGAATTTGAAAAATTCATTAATTAATTGATCACACGAATTTATTCTTATAAAAACAAGATCCATGCAAGATATCGTTATGCTCATACCACGCCAATATGCGTGTCAACAGTCTGGATTCTTCTATTTGAACCGGGTACGAGTAATTTTGATTGTATTAATTTCTCAACAGCAAATACAACGCCATCTTTTACTCGCAAACCGATGGCTGTTCTAGAGTATATTGTTTAACGATAAGTATTTATCAGAATCAAAGACATTTATCGAGAAAACAAAATTTTAAAGTTAAACTGGAGAAAGATGAACTACAGTTTTATTTGGTAATTAATGTTTATTAACTAATTACCCGCTATTATCGACTGCTTTTACTGCATATTCTACTTGAAATACGCGACCGTCAGGAGAATAAGTAGACACTGATAAATCATACTATGAATATATTTTTACATGAATTTTATACTTGATATTCCTCAGCATACGTGGAATTTCAATAAAAAATTCAAAGATACTAACTCCCGTTCCTATAGAACTCATTTTCTTATAAGGTACTTATGAAAATATCCACCAAAAAATATAAAGACCTGCTTACGTATTAGAGAATTTCGTCCTCTATAGATTGACGAATCAAATTCTATTTTTGTATTATGAAGATGTAAAAAACGTGACTGGCAAAATTTTATATATAAGGAAAATAACCCATAACGAGCACAATTTTTCTTTCGTTCAAGTTCAGGGGGGGGTACTGTATGTAGCGCTAATGTCCACTAATCCGCACACCAATGGAAGAAAACGATAGTTCTATGATAACCCACGGAATCATGGTTGACCCCATGAAGCTTATCGTTATGTGTTCTATAGATCTTTGATGTGTCATTATATCTGAAATCGAATGCAATCTGATGATTGAAAACTCATTTCTGTAAAATTAATATTTGACATGTAAAAAGAATAGGATAGATAAAATTTATGAGAATATTCTAAGTTTAGAGAATGGATGAAATAAATTTCTAAAATATATATCAAATTTAAATGTGCGTTATTATATTATTCAAAATTCATGAAAAGTTTTGAAAACAAGTGCACACACATTTAACATCATGCAATTACTTTACAAAAAATACATAAAATAAAAAGATTACTTGTAATAATATATATAATGCAAAAGCTAAGGAGATGCTCCCATCCCAACCAATCCAAGATCATTTTGCTCACGAGGCGTTAGCCCAAGACGTGTTCTCCATATTAGCCAAACTTTTCTCGCCCATTTTACAATAGGCCTTGCTAATAATGCTTTCACAATCATACGGCCGGTTTCGTAACAAATAAAAAACACAAAACACCAAACCACAAAATACCAATAACTTATCGTGTGCATCGTGAATTGACGTGGATGGCAAAATGTATCCTGGAATGAATACATACCACGAGTTTCAGTGTAAAAAGAAGTCCAGTAGTCGGCAAGTAATGTTATAGGTAACATTTTGTAGTAAGCTGGATTAAATTTCGGGTAAGCTCGAGGTCGAGTGCCAGTAGCATCAAATAAAAAACTAGTACGTTTTTCACGTAGTTCGGACATTATTCCGGCCATTGATCTATCTTTGGTACTGATGGTGGTCCATGCGTAAGCTCCATCCGAAGGGGAATGTACATCGGAGCCAGTAAGCATTAATAAATTATGGTTTTGAGCAAAATTATAGGTTACCCAATCAAAAGTATCACCATTAATTATTTCGAATGCGTCAACACCCTATTTTCAATAGTTTCAATAAATTTTGTTAATGAAGAAATCTTTATCGTTAACAGCACCATTACACTCACCCATTCTAAAAGCTGTTCACGTGATGGATGATTTGGCAATGTGCCCTCTTGATACCAATTCTCTTGATTTGTATGTATATGTCTTGTATTAACATCATTATAATTTTACTTAATTCGAAAATAAACTACAAGTATAAATTGAATTACCGGTGCTATTACTCCACGGAATATGATTCACCGAAACAAGACCTCCGAGCTCATGAGTATGTCTTATAACTTTTTGTAAATCTTCATCTGATGGGGATGGAGGTCCAAATGGAATTGATTCGTTAATACCTATTAAATTCATATGAATGCGGCAGGAACTACAATATTGAATGCAAAAGAATAAGTAATAATAACGGTAATGTTTAAAAAACAAAAACTCATTTATTTTACCTATATTCCATTGCCGGTATTACCACAATAGAATCATTGAATTTATCATGCGCAATTTGTTGAGCGAGTAACCCTCCTTTAATCGTATTGTGATCACTTACAATAATTGCACTATATCCATTCGCTTTATCAATGTAAAAGATTGAATTATTAAGACAGTGTGGCTTGAAATCATAAGGAAATCATATATATATATATACCAATTGCCCATTTCAAAAGCATTTCAGGTTTCATTGCGCCGTCGGATTCTGTAGTATGCGCATGACCATCCAATAACAAAGTTATTTCGCCAAATGTCTCATTTATTGGCTTTAGATAACTTAATGGCTCGATAGGTTTCCACGAAAATTTAATGTCATCATAAGTGTAAAGACTTGGAACAGCTTTATATTTCACAAAAGTCAACGCGGTAAATAATACAATCAATATTAAGATAAACGAGAATAGTCGTCTACAAGCGCCTCGAAAATATGGTCTTAGTTTATGTCTGGGTATATAGATAGATATCATGTTTTTTATATATCTAACTTGTGGAGTCGATTCAATTTGATTCTGAAGGTTCGAAATCGACCATTTATGCGAGGGCCTAGTAGGCGAAAGTTGTGGAGATAAAGTAGGTGACGCCGGAGGAGGACTGAAAGAAAATAACAAGGGTCGTTCAATGTCATTGCTACGTGTTTCATTATCAGAGTCTTCACCTTGATAATTATGAGGAGCAGCTGGTGGAGTTACGGTCAATGCCGTAAATCTGTTTCCGCTCATAATTTCGATAAATGAAATGAATCAATATCGATATTATGCTACTCAAAACTAATGTTCGCTTTCACGTGACACCAGCCTTGACCCTATACATAAGCGCTACTGGGATGACTATAGCTTCGCAGGATTGTCATAATTATCCTCTCAGGTTAACCACCTTTTGAGAGTTGGCAATTCCCCATTATAGTTCGTTACATTTTTAAATATTTTTGACCTTTTCTCTAACGTAATAGGTCGCATTCACCAAACGGGATCAACAGACCTTCAATCGTAGATGCAATAATAAGAGAATTCTAAAATTCATTTACCAACTTTGCAACGCATTTTCCGTGATATAGCTACTTGATAGATCATGAGAAGATGAAAAGAAGCAAACCTGCATCGAGAACAACGACAATGTTTGGATTGTTACTAGTTCTGGTTTTTATTCACATAGGATAATAAATATCTAATACACTGAAATTTTGAGAAGTTACAATAATCAAAATACCAGACATCATGTTTGTTAGAAAAGATTTATATACATGTACAATTGAATTCATGATTTATATCAAAAGTATCTTTTTAACTGCTTATTTTTATTATTATTTCTTACTTTTTTGTTTTTTGAACATTAAATTGATTTCAAAATTTGAGTTGTATTTTCAATAACCAACATATTGTATATGAGTAATTTGTTTGTTTTATAAATTAGCAATTACTAATAAAAGCCAAATTATTTATTGTTGAATTTATATAATAAAGTATATAAATATTAGAGGTAAATGTATATTATTAAAATAGTAATCTTTCTCAAATTAAAGAAATTTAATTATCTTTGATAACAATATTCATTACGAATTTACGAATAAAACTGGTTATATAATGGCTGGAAATATTTAATTGTTTCTAAAATGATGCAAGAAGTTAAAGCTTTGCTCCTTCGAACGTAATTTGATTACCATATCAAATCATATCATATATCCAATTGCTTTTTCTAATTTGAAACTAGTGCTCATCGTTATATAAATCGATATAATATAAAAAATTTAGTTCGAGATTTGGATTTCTCTTTTTATTCCGACCCTCGTTATAACGGATCAATAACATAAAATTTTTGCTTCACATATAAAATCCATTAGTAATTTTGGCATAACGGTGTGTCCCAGCCACGAGGGTTGCATTGTACTGTCCGATAATGCAATATTTACCCTGATCTTGCCAATGTATGATAATTCCTACATTAATCACCAACACGTTTTATTATTTTTTTTCTAATATCGTGTTAATGTCTGCAAGTGAGGAAAACAGAGATTTAAAGGACGATAAAGTCGTTACAGAACCAGAAAATGACCAGGATACTAAACCTAAAAAACTTAAATATGACGACGGTTTTTCGGAATTGGAAGACGAGGAACCACGAAAACGTAGAGCAAGGACTGGTAGTAAAGTAAAGAGAACAAGAACAAGAAAACCTAAAGAAGAAACATCAACGCGTAAAACACCAAAGACTGACAACGAAGATGCGGGTTCCGGCTTGGATAATGAAGCAAAGGGTAAAGAATCTCCGTCAACGCGTAAAATACTAAAATCTGATAATAAAAAAGATGCGAGCTCCAATTCAGACAATAATGAAACAACGGACAAGGGAGAGAGTAAAGCGCCTCGAAAAAGAAAGAGTAAATCTAAAGCTGCTGGTAAATCAAAAAGGCGTAAGAAGGCTATAATAGAAGATGAACGCGACGATGGTGCTGAAGATTACCAACCAAGTGATGAGGAAGAAGAACCTGTCCCAAAACAATCAAAGCATGCAATTCAAAAATCTAAAGAAGTGGTAAATAAATATTTGCTTTTTTATCCATCACGAAATTTTAATCGTGAAATTAATAAAAAAAAAACGAAATTATGATAGTCGGTTGATGATGACGAAGAACTAAACAAGTTGAAAAAGTTCGTTTCAAAATGTGGTGTACGAAAAGTTTGGTATGTTGTTTTTAATGGGTTAATTGATCTACTTATTTGATCTGTTTATTCTATGCTAATTGAATGTGGTTTTTATTTAGGTCAAAAGAATTGGCCAAATTAGAATTAGACGACAAAATCATCAAAGTGAAATCTATCCTAGTGGAATTGGGAGTGACAGGTATTATTGTTCATTATTATGCTGACGATAAATTATACATTATTAACAAGATTAAATATAGGTGAACCGACTGAAGCGAAGTGTCAAAAGGTGCGCAAAGCTAGAGAGCTTCAATCAGAATTGAAGGAAATAAGCAAGGTTAATATAATTTCTGACCAAACGAAAGAAACAAGACGAACAAGAGCATCAAGAGGAATTACTAGTGCTACCATTGATCGTAGCAGATAATAACGTTAATAATGAAATAAATGAAGTAATCACGATGTGAATTATCTGTATAATAATTAATAATTAGTCAAATTAATAATAATTCAATTTTTAACCCGCTTTCAAATTAGTTCTAACGCAGTTAATAGTAATAATAATGATGCACGCGAAATTCGATATAACAGATTCATCCGTTCCATTAGTGAATATTTTCAAAAAATCCGTTATATCGAGGTTTATTAAGAAATTCGTTATATCGAAAGTCCGTTATGCCGAGTTTTACGTGCATTAGCACACTGTCTCACTATTGTATTCCATTTTCTGATCCTAGGGTATGGTCATATTGTACAGCAATATACAAAAAGTTATATCGAATATAAATGCTAGCTACCATGTGGGTCATGAAACGAAAATCTGTTATTTATTATTCACACAGTAAAAGTCTAGAAATCAGCTTTAACACGTTACTTAACCACAATATTATATTAAGTTGTTCTATTTACACAATATTGTAAAAGGTATTATTATGAGGATAGAAAAACGGCATATCAAAGATTAGCGTTGGCTCAAAGCCTTCATTCGATTTCGATTGGAAAGCATGGTGATAGCAATGCATGATATCACAAATCCAATAAATTTGAAAAATGCTTCGCGAGATATTTGTCGTTCTTCTTCAGGAGTTCGAAAAGAAGAAAATATTCGACGGAGATTCGGAAATGCCATCTTATGATTATAAATGTTGAGCTTGTAGGATACTGTTGCAAGACATATCAATATAAATAAATAAATAGCGATAGCGATCACCAGTGGCTGAGTGATCATAATGCACGTTGTATTTTTATAAAAATCTAAAATCGATTTAGTTGGAAACCTCAACCATGACCGATTTTCGCATTCCAAAACCAAAGTTTTTCGCTACCACAAAAAAAGGTCACTTAACTAAGCATTTTCTACACGTTAACTGAAAGCTTTATTCTTTTCCTTCTTTCTTACTAAAGCTTCTCGATTTTTTTTCCACTTGCATTGTTAGGCGAGAACTATGAACTTAAAGCAGATCTAAACAGTGAATATCGAGATCGTCGAAAGGATGCGATAAAAAAAGTTATTGCTAATATGACAGTTGGAAAAGACGTGTCGGGATTATTTCCTGACGTGCTAAAAAACATGCAAACAGATGATCTTGAACAAAAGAAATTAGTATATCTTTATTTGATGAATTATGCCAAAACACAGCCAGAATTAGTAATTTTAGCTGTAAATACATTTGTGAAGGTACGAAAAATATATAGGACAAAGACATGGGGTGTAATAATAATAGATTGTTTACTGACACGCGTGACCTATTCTTTACAGGATACCGATGACGTTAATCCATTAATTCGAGCATTGGCCATTCGAACGATGGGTTGTATTCGTGTTGAGAAGATTGTTGATTATCTTTGCGAGCCATTACGGAAATGTCTAAGGGTAAAGATATTATTTCACATTTTTAAAGATTATAAAGTAAAAATTGTATGGCTGACCGTGATAATGAATAAATAGGATGAAAACCCGTATGTCAGAAAGACAGCTGCTATATGTGTGGCGAAGTTATATGATTTAAATCCTACTTTAGCTACAGACAATGGTTTTGTTGCAACCGTACAGGATATGGTTTCGGATTCAAATCCTATGGTAATTAAATTGATTTTGCAATTAACATAAAAATCTACCTCACAAATTTTTTAATTACGATTATTTGTTTCAGGTGGTCGCTAACGCGATTACAGCATTAGCTGAAATTCATGAGGCATCCGAAGCAAAAGACATTTTTGTAATTAATCATGCGACCCTTAATAAACTCATGGCGGCTTTAAATGAATGTACAGAGTGAGTGTGGATTGGGGATTGGAGTCGCGAAATACAAAGTTTCTTTGATTGACCGCGTTATTATAACCTTCAAAGTTTGCGGTTAGTCAAATAATCTTACAACGTGACCACCTGATGTTTAATTGCGTATATGCGACTATTATGTTGTTTATTCGATCTTTTGATCGTATTATTATGAATAATATCAGGTCGGCGAGTAATTGGCGAGTAAGTTCGCTTTTAGCTTCGTATACTACTGTCTCTATAATCGCAGTTAATGGCGATTAATCGCGACTTTTGACTAAGCTATATACGCTTTTCGATCACCAGTGTGGATATAACGTCACGTTCACAATCATTGACATATCTTTTTTTTTTGTAACATTTTTGTATTTAAGATGGGGACGGATAGCTATTTTGACAGCATTGGCAGATTATCGACCTGTCGACGAAAAAGAGGCAGAAATCATTATTGAACGTGTGGTTCCGCAATTTCAACATGCAAATGGAAGTGTGGTTTTAGCTGGAATAAAGGTGTGATAAAAAAATAATAAGATTGGCATCTCTCTTTTACACGAATTAAATTATAATTTACATTTTTTTTAAAGATAGTCGTTTTATATATGCGAGTAATAAAAAGTGAAGATCTCATTCGTCAGTTAGTTAAAAAAATGGCACCTCCATTAGGTTTTATATTTTATGAATTTGACTTGCTTGACATCTGTCATCCAGTGAATCGAAAGATTAATATCAAATTTTTTATTTCTTACAGTAACATTGATCTCATCAGTTCCTGAAGTTCAATATGTCGCGCTTCGAAACATCAATCTGATATTACAAAAACGCCCTGATATATTACAAAACGAGATGCGCGTCTTTTTCTGTAAATATAATGATCCACTCTACGTGAAACTAGAGAAGCTAGAGATAATGATCAAGTTGGCAAATGAAAAAAATGTGGATCAATTATTATCGGAATTGAAGGAGTAAGCTTTGTCGAAAATGACTTCCCGTTACAATTTTAACGAAAAATCTTATCTTTGAGATTCTTCTTTTTCAGATATGCCTCTGAAGTGGATGTCGATTTTGTACGGAAATCCGTCAGAGCTATTGGACAATGCGCAATCAAGATTGAAGAAACTTCTGAGAGATGTATCAACGTGTTGCTAGATTTGATTAATTCCAGTAACACAATGTCGGATATTGGTAATAGCAAAGCGAATTACGTGGTTCAGGAAGCTATCATTGTAATCAAGGTACATTCATTCTTTCGAATTATTATGAACATTGATTTCTAGTTTAGGCGATAAGTTGAAAAATCGATTCTTTTTTAGGATATCTTCAGAAAATATCCACGAAAATATGAAGGAATTATCCCTACATTATGTAAAAATTTGGATGCTTTAGATGAGCCTGAGGCTAAAGCATCATTGATTTGGATTATTGGTGAATACGCAGAGAAAATAGATAATGCAAATGAATTATTAGACTCATTTTTAGAGACTTTTCGGGATGAGAATGTGCAGGTATTCACATCGGCGAATATATTACGCTTTTTTATCCTGCAATACGATATGTAATGATCATTTAATTGTGTTTAGGTGCAATTACAATTAATCACTGCCACAGTAAAGGTTTTCTTGAAGAAACCACAAAAAACTCGAGACATTGTGCAACAAGTATTACAAATTGCTACCACGGAGTGTGATAATCCCGATATTAGAGATCGGGCCTATGTGTATTGGCGATTATTATCTACAGATCCTCAAGCAGCAAAGGTATAAATATTTCTTGATATTTGATCAATAAAATCAAAGTTTTCCCCTCTAATTAAATTTCTCTATTTTAGGCAGTAGTATTGTCCGAAAAACCAGCAATTTCCGTTGAGAATCAATCGATATCTCCAGCTTTGCTGGAAGAACTTATTAATAATATATCCACTTTAGCTAGTGTATATCATAAACCGCCGGAAACATTTTTGGGACGAGGAAAATTCGGAGCGGATGCTGTTCAGCGAAGAGCTATCGAGTATGATACAATGAATTGTAACTTAAGCAAATATTCATTTTTTAAAGGTTGCTCACTCATACATTTGGATTTCTACAGGGAACAAGAAGAAGCTTCACGTGAAACGGAATCGCCAATTCAAGTCAAAGACGAAAACCTCTTGGATCTCGACTTCTCTGATGCATCTGCTACACCATCGTCTTCTAAACCATCGTCTTCTAATCTATCATCTGCTGCTTCACCACCCTCCAGTTCAATCTCGAATAACATTGACGATCTGTTGGGACTTTTTGGAACAACCACCACTAATAATAGTTCAACGACACAAGCAGGATCTTCGGCTACTACACAAAGCAATGCATTGAGTGATTTGGTTAGTTTGATATAAAGAATAAATCATCGTATTTGTTAAACGTGATGACAAATCCGGTGGATATTTTGAATAATATATTACGAGTATCATATTAAAATTAAATGCATTTATTAAAATTAAATGCATTTATTGGATAGAGGTTTTCATTTTTTAATATTTATAGATTTTCAATATCATTTGATTTTGATATTATTTAATTGTTAACATCGTACACAATTGGACACAGAAAATTTAAATTGTAATTTTTGTTTGGCTTGCAGAAAACAAGCGAGTCATTAATTGCTATATTTATATTATATAAAAAAGGAAAGATAGTTATAAAATCTGTATATTACAAATATATAATATCTTACTAACATTTACATAATGTCCTCATTATACATTAAAAAATATAATAGATAAATTATTAAATAACAATAAATCTACAAAAATAAATGTTGTATTCCCAAAATATCCAACACTTCTTTCTTTCGTTGTAGAATTTTTGCTTCTTCGGCATCGTCAGCATTTACAGTAGCCGACGATGACAACTCTTTGGCATTTTGTAACCTTTCTTGTTGCGTCTCATCGTCTTGAAACATTAGGTCTTCCTCCTCGTCATTATCCTGGACATCATTTGAATCCGGATCTTGGCGATCCTCTTTGTCAAACTCTATGTCAAATTCTGTGTCAAACTCTGTGTCAAACTCTCTGTCGGATGCTGATCTTCCTTGTCGTGATAATAGTTTCCGACATTGCCGAATAAGATGTAGTGTTTTGAGCGTTTGCAATATATCCTCATCTGAGATGAAATGATTGTTGGTAAATGGAAAAATCGAATTGAAAATGAACAAATGTAAAGTAACTAGATCCTACCTTCACGATAATCTTTTTTCAATTGAACTGGGGGTGTTCGCGAAGGTGTTATTGATATCGGTGGTGGTGGTACGGGAGGGAGTGGTGGAAACAATATTTTGGCATCCATTATTATATTACCAACAAGTTTATCGCCATTGACTAATATAAAAGACGTGAATAATTAAGAAGAATAGAAACAAATAAAAAAAGTAAAATCCGAAAATATTCGAATTCGATATAATACATTTTGATTCCATCAATGCGCTTTCAACTAATTCTAACGGGAAATTGGGATATTCCACGAAATAATATTTCATATCCTCTTGTAAGTTGCATTCTGTTTGCTAAGATTTTACAAAATAATAAAATTCAATATATTTGTGAAAAAAATATCAAAGACTTGCAATTTTTCTAAAAAAAAAAAAAAACATGTTTGTATTCACCGCCATCATCCTTGTCTGCTCGTCTGATAAACTTTCTCCCGAACCATCATAGTAAATTAGCTCTAATAATAGTTCGGTCGCCATCTATTGGATAAAGCAAGTGTCGATTTGAGTATAGGGATCTTCGATTCCAATGAATCGATTATTGCACCGACTTACTTGAAGTGTTATAGGACGACATCGATTGTAATGTTCGCACAAAATTAAAACAAGCTTTGAAATTAGCTCGCGTCGATAATTCACCCTCGGTGACGCTAGTGTCTCAATATGATTATGGTTATTTTCATTCTTATTCTTAACATCGTCATAATAATCATCATCAGCAAAAAAGATTCTTATCTCGGGAATTACCATATTATTGTAACGTGGTTTATGATCATGATGATGATTATTTTCATTTTTTGCTGATTGTTTTAAAGCAGCGGCAAATAACGCGTCTGACTTTTCGGTTCTCTCGCCTGTCTCTGAAAAAAATGTTTTTTCTTGTAATGAGGAGATGACAGATGAAGCCATCGAAACAGTATCTATTGAAAACGAAAGGTCGTTTAATAAACCTCCGGAACTTGATGTCAGTGTTTCCTATTGATAAAGGGGTTAGAAAATTAGGGGGGTGTTTTTTTCTTAGTAAACTTTGATTACGGAGATTGAATAAAACGTTTACCATTAGTAATTTTTGAGGATAAACTGCTGTGTTAATTAATACTTCTGGTGCTATGGCATGATTTCGACATGACATGTATATTAAACATAGAGCAGGTAATGTAGCCAAATCACAGAATTCACTATCATCCGACTCTTCATCCGGTGTTAAGAAGTCTAATATTGCTTCTCGATATAGATTTCTGGACATCCATTTATTATGTAATAGTTGATTTATTAATCTTATTGCTTTTCCTCTTCATAACTAACACAGGGACTCTGATATCATTAATGTTTACCTCGATCCTGATGTCATTGATGATGTGTGTTCAGAAGAAGGAAGTGATGATGGTGGGGTGGCGTAATTTAATTCATGTGAAGTATCGGAAAAGAGCATTGCCACCATAGATGTGACTAACGGTTGGTAACGGAATATATGTAATACGTGACATAAGAGTGCGAGTGCGATAACTGGGCTAATCCGGATAACCTTTGAATATTTTTTTATTCATTTATTTTAAACCAAAAATACTAAACATAGAACAAAAAGCATAAAAATCAAACATTTATGAAGAACCAAAATGTTGTATTCTTTACCTGTTGTTTCGATGGCGGCAGCAGCTCTTCTCTCACTAAGCTATCTGCATAAAAAGGTTTCAGCAATAATTCTACTAAATGATGCGTTAAAACCTCGTTGATTTTTTCAATGTTCAAATTGATGATATCGTTTATATAATAGAAAATATCGCTATGTTCGGCTATATAATAATCAATTTTTGAATGGTGATGATTCTGACTGTAGGAAATATTTTAGGAAACATGTTGTCGTAAGTATCAAAATAAATGGAAAGTTATGCAAAATCAAAAATTTTAAGTTTTAAAAAGAACGAACGAACAGGACTAACTTACTATGGTTCCTTACTTAGTTCATTCATCGTAGACGCGTGATTTGCTATGAAATAGACCAGATTTGAAAAATATGGTGCCACTTTTCTGTCCAAAATGAATTCTTGTGTGGTCATGTCATTTACTAATGATAAGAAGCGAATGTTTAGTAATGATGATAAAATACATAAATCATCCGTCGCTTCAATTACCTGCGAAAATATTTAGTGTCACCGTCCGAACAGCTACACGTATCATACTTTCTTCTGAATTAAAGAACTTGATGGCCTCAGAATATCTGGATTATTATTTCAAAATAATGAATGAGAATAATAAATTATAATCTCCATCTCGACCCTATTCTTTAATTCACATGATAATTTTATATGCTAACTAATAACTCAATTAATTGGGGGGGGAGGTTTACTTACAAAGGAAAATCACCCAGATGCTGAATAAAAATAATAATTAATTTCAAAAGGTTGGTAAAATCAACTATCGAGCAGAAAATATAAATATAAATATAAATATTAAATAACAAATACCTCATTAAAAAAGAAACATAAAGTGTTTGTATCCAATTTGAAAGAAAGTGTCCGTAAAAAATAAATGTAATAAGCCAGAATTTCATCATTAGAAAAGTCGAATTCATGGCAAATCACTCGATTCACGTAATTGTTTGATAAAAGAAAATCTATGGTCGAAATAAATGATAGTAAGCATGGAATTGAGTAAGGAAAAAATGTATTCTTGAAGGTTCTCTCTTTCGCTTGATCTTTCCAATATTTGCTTTCTCCATATGCTTTCGCTAATCAAAAACTTCAGCAACTCACATAATGAAGTTAAATCGTGAATATTCTCAAACAAAATGTTCATTGTTTGTAGTAATTGCTTTGTAACAAGTGGACTTTTTGTCATTTCTAAAATTCGCAAGAAATCGTAGTGCATATCTTGCTCAAAGAAATATCTAAAATAAGCATCAAGGATGAATTAATACTAAATTACTAATACGGTCTACAATAATAACCCGCTTTCTCTACCCTCGATTCAATTTTACATACTCTAATATTGCCGGCTTATGTTGATCCCCTGAAATATGAAACACGTAATGATAAATAAATAAATGAAAAAAAATAACATATCAAGATTCTTTAAGATTCACACATACCCCAAATTAAAATCTGGGTTATTTCTTTGATAGTCTCGACAATTTTTTCATCATCATAAGTGTCAATTATATATTGTTCAAGTAGATCACCCAAGTGTCTATAAAAAAGTTAAGTAACGATATTAAAATGAGACCATAATCAAAAAATTCAATTTTCCTAGTACTCGTGATTCATTAAACTATTTGATCTCGTCAATCATTTATTACTCCGAGTAAAAAATATCGTGTAATGTTACTAAACTCACAAATCATCACGAAATAACCGCTTCAAGTAATATAATACAACACGCCACATTCCCAGAAAACCGAATCAATAAATAAATAGACTCTTGTAGAATTTACTTTGCATATTTCGTTGTACAATTAAGTTTTTATTTATCTAATGCTCTAATGCCTAATGACTAACGCTGTCTGCAACATCCAGTCTACTTCTCTACATATATTTGAACAACGTACCCACCTCAAATTCTCCAAAGAGTACTTGTCAATTTTTGGCACTCTTGACATCCATCTCACAAACATTGACTGTCTAGGTCTGGCTGAAGCTGTCGAGGGATAAATTAAAAAACCATTATTGTTATTGTTATAACCCAGGTTGTTGATCGTAGTAGGTAGCCATTCTAAATAGCTGATCATCTTTTACTTCTTCTCGAAAATAACTTTACCTAGAATCATATATGCTGAAATGATATATTAAATCAAAATCAAAAAAGGATATTGTAATCCTTAGCCCCGATTTAGTGTAGTTTCTCGAAGTTTTCTCACTATAAAGATGCTATATCCAATCACTTACAACATCATCATATCACAGTGGTCCTGTACGATCTGTGTTACTGCTGACCAAACTTTAAATTTGTCAGAAACAGTCACCGATTTTACGAAATTATAATTGTGCCAATTATTTATAATAAATTTCACTTTATAACAATATAATAAAAGATATTGATATTGAATAAAATATAAAATATATATTTTAATTGATATCAAAATATTAAGTCTAAGATTTTAATATAGCTTTCTATAATCACACTATTGGGTTCAATAATAATTTTTAAGAATGTGATTTTATTATAAATGTGACTATAGGAAAGTGATGATTCTTGAAAAAATATGATTATAACAAGAAATCTTTTTTTTAAGTTTATTGATTGTAAATTTTTTTGCAATAAGAAAATATGTATAAATTATCATCTTTATTTTAGTGTAATAAAATAGAAATTTCAATATAGGAAAATAATTTTAATTTTTTATCGGTTTATTATTCTCGAAAATTTATTATAAAAATTCGGTATACCATATTCAGCTAATTTGACAAATAATCCCGTGTTTGTTTTTTCTATCATATTTTTTAATTACACATCCCTACAGTAATCATTACCAAGAGTCTTATATTCATTACCGCTCCTAGTTTTTCTGTTTGGGAATCTGGATGTTCCTTCAAGTCTTATTACGAAAATAGAGATCGAAAACCTCCAATAAATTTCTTTTCTTGAATTCACTTTCAATTTGTCTCATTCGAACTACACAATTTCGCGATTCTGATAGCTCTATTAAGATAAGAACCATCAAATAAAAAAACGCAAATGTCCAAATACTAAAGCATAAATAGACATATCTACCTTCTGATAGTACCTTACGAACAACAACTTTGGATGGTATTGCGGACTTTAATTCGCCGTAAGTCAGGCTTACTTTAATATTGATGCTATTTTTTCAAAGACAGAAATTAATTAAATTAGACGTGAGTCAAAAGATAATAACCGATAGGAAAAAACATAATCACACCCTTGCGCAGTCTGAACACAAAATTCAAAAAAACTACAAGCATTATTTGACGCAAGATCATTATCATCACTTTTTCCTAAGATTTTGTGCACGAGGGAAAACTCTTCTCGTCGCGTTACATAAGCTTGTAGATAATCATCCACAATTTCTAGAAATTTCTAAAAAAAAAACGGGTTATATATTATTAAAAGAAACATAAATTAGTGAATAATTCTTACATCGATATTCTCATTCAAGTACTCTGTTTCTAATTCCTTCAATGGAATAAAACTTGGAATCGTGTGCTTAACAACAATCAATTTTTCGGTATTTGGTTCATTTCCTACAAATATATAATAGGGCTCTAAAAATCTCCCTGCATGATGTTAATAGAATTCCTTAGATCGCATTGCCTTTATCCCAAAATGATTACTGATATTATTGATTATTTACCTTTAAAGAAAGTTTCAAGCCGTAACCCAACTCGATTTTCTTTATCTTGAAATATCGTTTTTCCTGTTATAGAATACGCCTGTAATAATTCTTCAATTTTTAACTTATCGGAAGTTGTTTGGAAAGGCTGCCCAAATATGGCGATTGGGAAGATTAATTCCTTTTTCTAAAACAAAAACATGTCATTAAATTGTGGTATCTCGTACTCTCTCCCTATGGTTAGCATAGTTTTCTTTTCCGCTTAATAAACTTTCTTCTTCTCTGTTCATTATATTATCACTTATATGTGGTGGATTGGTTTTCTGCTCATTTTCTAAGGTATGCGTCAATTCCTCGCGTTTTTTTATAAGCCCATGTACTAGAGAATAAATAAGCAAGAAACAAAATAAGAAACGTCTGCATTCCCATATGAAAAGCTTCATTTAAGCATACATTCACATCGCGAATCTTCAATATCGGCTTCATCCTGTTTCTCTGAAGAGAAAAACGGGAATTGCGTTCCTTTAGGAGAGATATTACTATTAAAGCTTGATATATATAATAAAAATACTTTAGAAGGTTTCAAATGTAAAAAATAAATTCCAATACATAAAATTATTGTACAATACACGGGAGAAAAAGATGACATTTTGTAATTAACAAATAAATGATTTGGCGCGTCTTTGGTTTATATTAATTTTTTTGAGCCAATGAAAACTATCCAATTTAAATAACAGAAACTTTCTCTTCCCCGCATTTTTAGAATGCGAGTGCGAGCACGAAAACATACGAAATCAAGAAATGTCTGTTGCTGAACTCGTATATCTATATTGCCATTTTATCGTCGAAAACGTCATTTTCCGGTGTTGACTCTATTTCTACGTGAACTTCGAAATCATCAATGATCTCTTGTGGTATATTTGGTTCTTCAGGCAAATACGGAATAATATATTTAATCGCATATTCTCTAATCGTTTCCCAGGAGTGTTCGTCGAGCGCTGGATATTGTTGGTAGATGATGTATCCATGCAGCCCTTCATGATTATTCCTTTGGGCAAGAAGATAAATCTGAAGAGTTTCTTGCTCGGATCTAGAAAGGAGGTTCTTATACATCTTAGGTTGAATTTTGTGACTGGGAACTTCGTTTGTGGGAAGTTGCGGAATGATGAATTTTATGGCATGGTGCCTTATTGACTGCCAAGGGTGGCGATTGTTTAGTGCTGGATACGTTCTATAAATGTTATTTCCATGTAATGCTGCACCTTCACTCTTTTTTTTTATAATATATTCCCGCAAGTGAGCGTCTTCTTCAGCCGTAAAGGCAGAACGAACTTTATCTGTACTACTGATGGAATTTTTAATCTTTGTCATTTCCTATCGAAAAGACTAAATTTGAAATTTGTGGAAAAAGGATCGCTTGTTTTCAAAGATAAAAATCACGTCGCGTATTATTAATCATTTATTGTTACTATGTAATCAATTCGTTTTTGATTGGCTAATCTTGATCCAATATTTGGATAAAGGTACGTTTAATTTTTGGATTTGGTGATTGGAATACAATTAACCCGCTGGACCTTTCATTGATGCTATATTAAAGTGTGCTATTAATTAAATATGCTTTCAGTTTAAAAGAACTTCTTGCAGAATCTTTTACTGAACTCTTTAGAAAGTTCAATTGGTTCTTTATTCAAGCGCAGGCAGTAGAAAGTTCAATTGGTTCTTTATTCAAGCGCAGGCAGTAGAAAGCGACTTTATGCGTAGGAGATTCATGATGATCTGAGTCTTCTGCGGTTACCGTATTTTGCATTTTGTATCACATATTATACACGACAAAATATGGTTATCTCTATGTCTTGATCGTTTGATAGACACACGGAGTTAAAATGTATCATAATCGTTTTGATAGAGAAGACGATAAGTAAAGAAGAGAATAACCAAAGTTGAAGATGTCAATGATGCCAAGCACTAAAATCGAACGCAAAGTAAAAGCGTCCAATGATAATAAGGTGACTATCTTTAGTCGATTCACTACATTCATGGATTTGTGCTTCATTTCATTCAAATTTGTTAGTTAATTAAATTATGTCAGAATCTAATAATGGAAATACGTCATTGAAAGATCAGACAGCGAAGGGTAAAAATAATTAGGTGGGCATAATCTTCTTGATCTTCATTCAAGGTTTCTTGTTGATTTAATAATAGCGTATAACAATGCTATCATTCTCACAACACAAGCCTGTCGTTATTACTAGAACGCGTGTTCCAGTTGATAATGCGAATTTTTATCAAAGAAATCTAGAACCCATGAATGGTCCCATTTAAAATTGCAATGTTCGCGTAATATGAATCGGATCTTTCGTAACTTTATTTTTCCATCAATAATTAATTAACAATTGTCAACTGTATAAAAAACTATATCCTATCGTTATCGATTTCGAAAAAATATTTAATAATAATCTTGCAAATAAATTTTCTCAAATAACAATAAAGACAAATCATGTCGAATTCTAATGCACCGTCCAAAGGACAGACCATTGACAACCATACTGATAATGATAATGATAACTTCACAGAAACACTTGACGCTTCTGAAATCACACCTTTACTTCAGGTTCCAACTCAACTATTTTCTGGAGCAGACACTTCAAATGATGCATTCTCAAACTCAAGGCTAGAAGATACTTCTATATCGGATACAGATGGAGATGCCTTGTATGATTTAAAGGAAACCTTTTATCTAATAAAAAAAGCGATACCAGTTCTTTTGACATATCTTATGCAATATTCGTTACAGATTGCTAGTGTTTTTTCATTAGGACATTTGGTAAGGCGTCTCCCTATTCAATATATAGGAAGCAAAAGATTTTTTCAAAAATAATCGTATGAAATTGGAATTTTAATTATTATCATTATTATTATACAGGGTTCAGTAGAATTGGCTAGTGCAGCATTGGCTTCAATGGTAAAATTACGCATATTTTTCATTAAAAAAATGTTATTGTCATTCGTAATTTCTTATTTCGATCAATTGAAATAAATCAGTACGCCGCGGTAACTGGTTGGTCTGTCGCTTTAGGTGCCTCATCAGCGTTAGATACACTGTGTTCGCAAGCATGGACTTCGGGTAATCCAAGAATGGTGGGCATCTTTTTACAACGAGCCATAGTCATAATTCTACTCGGATTTTGCCCGATTGCTATCACTTGGTGGGAAGCTGAAAGTATTCTTGTCTTACTCAAACAAGATGAAAAACTGGCTCATAAAGCGGGTTTATTCTTGAGGTATTTACTAATTGGTGCACCGGCTTATTTGGTTTTTGAATGTTTGAAGAAGTATTTACAGGCTCAAGGCAAATATCTCGTATATAGTAATAATGATTTTTAATGGCCCTTTATAAGACTAATTTCTCTTTTTGTATTTTGATTAGGCATTATGAAAGCCAGCACTTATGTTCTGATAGTATGTTCGATTACGAATGCCTTCTTAAACTATGCACTAGTCTGGTATGAACCGATATCTCTTGGTTTTATCGGTGCACCAGTCGCAACATCGATAACCTATTGGCTTATGCTCATTCTCCTGAGCTTATATACGGTATATGTGGATGGATCTCAAGCATGGGGTGGTTGGACACGTGCTTGTCTTCGTGACTGGGGTTCATTTTTGAGACTCGCTTTGCCGGGTATTTTGATGGTGTGTGCTGAATGGTGGGCTTTTGAATTGGTCGCTCTCGCTGCTGGATACCTCGGAAGTGTTGCGTTGGCAACTCAAAGTATCGTATTGACAACTGCGAGTTTAGTCTATCAGATGCCATTTGGTATTGCAGTGTCTACTTCCAACAGAGTTGGCAATTTTCTCGGTGCTGGATTGGCCGGTCGTGCCAAAATGTCAGCTAAAATGTCATTGGTACTCTCGGTTATTTTTGCTTGTTTAAATTCATGTGTTTTACTGGCCTTTAAAAATCAGTGGGGGTATGTAATGTTTCTTATTTGATGATTTTTTTTCCATTAATCCAATATACTTAATTTTTCCACTTATTTTTATCATGACCAGATACTTGTTTACTAAAGATCCGGAAGTTATTGATATGGTGGCAAATATACTACCATTGTGCGCTTATTTTCAGGTAATTGAATAATTATTTCTTTAGCAAAAGAAAAACCAATTTCTAATTTGTGAATTAAAATACTGCTCAAAGGTTTCAGATGGGATATCCGCAATAGGTGGTGGTATTCTCCGTGGTCAGGGACGTCAAAAGCTTGGTGCAATATTTAATCTTACCGGATATTATTTGGTCGCGCTTCCATTGGGTCTTTCTCTTACATTCAAATATAGTTATGGTTTAAAGGGACTTTGGATTGGTTTAACGTGTGCATCGTATCTCGTGTCATTCGCTGTTTTCTGGGCAATCATCAACACAGATTGGAAATGGGAAGTTGAAGAGTGTCGTCGCAGAATTAAAATTGTTGATGCTGAGGTTAAAGCTAATGGTGCGCGAAAAAATTATGGTACAGATTTGGAAGAAGGCTTTCCTGGAAATCATACGAATATAGCCGCAGGTGTTGGGAATAGTAGTAGTTAAAAAAGGGGAAATCTAATAACTCGTTGTAAAAGAAATCAATTTCGTACCTCACTTATTAAAATAAACAAGTGGGGGGGGGGGGTTTTTTTTAATTTAAAAATGAATTGGGTAGCATTGTAATACTATGTGAACTAAATTTGGTTTATAAACCTGATTTTCAGCCGATCATTTCATATAATCATTTCATATAATCACTTCATATAATAAACCTTGCATAGCGATAGTGACTATAACGATAATGCCTCCTTATTTGTAGATATTCCCTCAACTTCTTTACGTTTACTCCGCCAAACAGGCGGACTAAACTGCACTCCTTATATAGCTATCACAAGTCGCTTTTCCACACTAACACCACAAACTTTGCAAAGAGGCTTAAAATAATATCGTCGAGAAGTAATATGTCCACCGAAAATACACCTTTAATTTCCTCGTCTGAAGAAGAGGCGACAGCTTATGGAATATCCAACGTTTTAGCTGATAATTTGCTTTTCTCCTCTAATGATGGAGTGTCAACTTCTACCGATTTCGGACGAGAAAAATTATTTGATTATGAAGAGGCAAAGTTTCTGACAAAGAAAGCGGCACCTTTATTAGTCGCTTATCTTTTGCAATATACCTTACAAGTTGCTAATGTATTTTCTTTGGGAAGATTAGTGAGTAATCGTTGGTCGATTTATATGAAAAATGAATTCATTTATTAATTTTATAATTTTGATATTAGGGTTCTAATGAACTGGCAGCATCAGCTCTGGGCAGTATGGTATGTGATTTTTTTTATCAATATAGAATTTCTTGCGATTCCCTAATGTTGGTTTAGTTTGCCGCAGTAACCTGTTGGTCAGTCGGATTAGGTGCCGCATCGGCCCTCGACACTTTGTGTTCACAAGCCTACACTTCGGGCACACCGATAATGGTAGGTGTACATTTACAACGAGGTGTTATTATTGTTCTGATTGGAATGATGCCTATTGCAATGCTCTGGTGGGAAGCTGAAAGAATTTTGGTGGTGCTGGGACAAGACAAAGAATTATCAAAAATGGCAGGAGTTTATTTGCGGTATTTGTTGCCGGGTGCTCCCGCATATTTATTATTCGAGTGCGTCAAAAAATATTTGCAAGCACAAGGTGGAGATATCCGAAAGTTAATGCGAATTGTTGATTATTAATCTGTAAATATTAACACGATTCCTTAATTTAAGGTATTATGCAAGCAAGTACCTACGTGCTAATAATATGCGCACCCATAAATTTGGTCCTTAATTACACTTTAGTCTTGTATAAGCCTATCGCATTAGGATTTATTGGTGCTCCTCTCGCCATCACCATCGTTAATTGGCTTATGTTGATCTCAATTGTATTATATATCCGATTTTTTGACGGGTATCAAGTGTGGGGAGGATGGACTTGTGATGCATTACGCGATTGGCGAACATTTATCCAACTTGCAATTCCAGGAATTCTTATGGTCTGCTCGCAGTATTGGTCCTATGAATTAATTGCGCTTGCTGCTGGATATCTTGGAAGTATTACCTTAGCAAGTCACAGTATTGTGTTGACTAGTGCATTGTTGCTATATCAAGCGCCATATGGTATTGCGGTTGCTACTTCAAATAGGGTTGGAAATTTGTTGGGTGCTGGTTTGGCTTCAAAAGCTCAAGTCACGGCAAGAGTGGCTATGTTTTTAGCTGTATTGATCGCTTTGGTTAACTCTACGGTATTGATGGTGTTCAAAGATTCATGGGGGTGAGTATAATAATAGTTTATTTGCACCTTAAATTCTTTCTAATGATTTTATGTTTGTCTTTTTAAATGTTAGATATTTATTTACTTCAGATGATGGTAAGTGACCATTGATTGATTGGAATAATGAATGCACTCTACTATCACTAATTCCTCGATTATTTCTGAAATAATAAACAACAGAGGTAGTAAAAATGGTTGCAACTCTTTTGCCACTATGTGCCGCCTTTCAAGTAAGTTTTATTGATTTTAGCATTTTTCACATAAACCCGTTATTCTTCCAATAAATAAATAAATATAAATATATATATATATATATATGCATGTCTATTTATAGGTCTCTGAGGAATTGAATGCCGTCGGAGTGGGAATATTATGCGGACAGGGTAAACAACGAGTTGGTGCGATATTCACCATGGTTGGCTATTTATTCGCCTTGATATTAGGTCTAGTTTTTGAATTTAGATATTATTTGGGCATTAAAGGTCTTTGGACCGCTTTAACGTGTGCCTCGATTGCGATTGCTATCGCTGTGATATGGACAATTTTGGTTACTGATTGGCAGTGGGAGGTTGAACGATGTAGAAAGCGGATGAAAATTGTGGATCATAATGAAAGTAGGGAAAATGTGTAAAAATGAAGATGACTAAGTCAAATTTATTTTAATTTTAATTTAATTTAATTTAATTGTGCTGATAATTTCGAGGCTCACAAATATAATGATAATCGTTTTGGACTGCTAAAATGATAATCAAATAATGATGTAATTGTGATGAAAAATTCAAATAAAAACGACAAGGTCATGTTAAGTCATGCAGTATATGATGAAACAAGCAGAAAATGCAGGTGTTTACAATAAAAAATATCTCGAATTAAATTTTTTTGAATCAACCTTTTATAGAAATATTAATATCTTCAATACTTGTGACTAATTAGGAACACAGAGAATTCTCATTTATATTGATACATATAATTAATTACAATATATCAATATTGAACATATACATGTACATACAATTCATAATATTTTCCAAAACGCATGATATTACAAATATTAACCAAATTTCATTGGCTATCAATTACAAACTTGCGAGTCTCAAAATGTTCCAATTATTTCGCATGCAATAAGATATGTATTTTTGCATTTACAATAGTTTTATTGAAATCGCGCATAAAACACACCAAAATTGTTAAACTATAAATAAATATACATGAAAAAAGACAAATAATAATAATAATGATAATCCAATCTTACAAATATGTTTAGTGACTACTAAAAATGATTGATTGATATATAGATAGAGAAATCTTTTCAATGTTAAAAAATATTGTACCATTTTTTATTAGCCTCTCTTTTTGCGATTTCTCTCGCTATTCTCGCAAATTCAGAGCTCGCACTGTTCATATTTTCCAATTTATCGCTCAATTGATTCATTTTCTGACCTCGCTCGGCGAGTGCATCCACAGTATCTGCCAAAGCTGTACGAGTTGATTGTGATTCTTGTTTGGGTTTTTGATATTTTTGATCTTTTGAAGGTACGACAGGTGCTGGATTATCCTCCGGTGTATTTCCCAGCAATTCTTGGCGTTGCTGTTTTTGTTCAGCGATTGATTGTTCACGAGTTAATGGTACTGGTTGAGGAGCATCATGGTTTGGTAAATTTGCTGTTGAAGTAGGTGAATTTTCGTGAATAGATGAACCTTCGGATTCCAAATCTTCATCGCTATACTGATCTGTCAATTGATCATCGAGTTCATCGAGTTTTTGATTGATTTTCTCTACAGTACGAGAGAAAAATCCTCGTACTTGCCCGATGGCACTCGACCAATTTCTAATCGGCAGTGAATCGATTTCTGTGGAGGAAGTTTCCTCCGTGATATCGTTAATATTTGATTGTGTCGCATCACTTATTGCACTTTCAAGACTCTGAGGTACAGATTGTAAATTAGTTGTATTTACTTGTAAAGGATTTTCATTTTCGGGAGTTTCTCGAGACTTAATTGGCGAAAATGTAGACGGTGAATTGATTGATTGTTCATGATTTAATATCAAAGGATTGGTGATAATAGTTGGTTTGGTTGGCGAAACAGGTATTGGAGAATTAGGTGCAGAATTCGATGTATCGGGCAATTTAGTATCAAGAGAAGGAAGAGACGCTTTCTGTTTTAATTCCTTAGTATTTGTATTTTCTGGAACAAGTGTTGTTTCAGAATCTGCACTTTGAGCTATTAGTTATAAATTTTTATATATAAGTGGGTGTTATATAATGTAGCAAAAATAAATTGAAAAAAAAAACAATATAAAAAATTAAACGGTTTCCGCGTACTTTGAGGTAATGATTCATTTGTTACTTTACGTTCTTTCTTTTCCTTCTTTTCTCGTTTTTCTCTCTCTTTTCTTTCTTTTTCTCTTTTCTCTTTTTCTTTTTTTTCTCGCGCCTTTTGTTCTTTTATTTCTTTCTTTTGTCTTTCTTTTTCTTTTTTTGAGGCTTCTCGCTGCAAATCCACATTTTGTGCACTATCGGCTTGTTCGTTAATCGGAGTAATCGGAGAGGCTTCTAATACTGTAGCAACACTCATGATAGATAAGTTTGATAAAGACAACAACTGGTTGTTTGTCCAATTCTAACTTTAAAGTTGTCGTCCGACATTTCTATTTATATGCATGTATCAGAGTTGTGTGATGGTACCACACCACGTTTCTAAAATGATCATCAATAAGGGTTTTTAATCGCGACAATGGTACTTTTAATGGCCAATAGAAAAATTGAGGCCAAGTTCTATGAATGAATGAATGTAATTAAAAATCTGTAACGGTAACCGAAATACAGGTCTGTGCGACTTTTTCGCAAAAATAAAATTTTTGCAAACCCAGCACATGATAATAATTAAAAAGTTAATTTTAGGGTCGCTTGGACGTAAATCCAGCAATTTGATTGGTCAGGACACTTGTCCCAACCAATCAAATTGCTGGATTTACGTCCAAGTGACAACACTGAGTTAATGTTGTAAAATTCCCTCCCCACGTTTTTGACTAGTGCTCCAAGTTAGATTCATTCTCCGGTATCGTATTTGCCGGGCTGAGCAAATGTTTACAGTGTTATATTTTATACCCAGATTCCGATCGGCCCTGGTTCGGTTCTTGAAAATAAACTCGATTTTCGTTCGGAACCTTAAATTATTACTAAATAGAAAATAAGCCCAATTTATTGTTATTGTAACATTTAACATTATTATCAACTAATTTACTAAATACATAGAAAACAAGCCAATTTTTTATTATGATTAAAATGCTATTATTGTTATTGTTGTATTAATATTCTACTAAATAAAGAAACAAAGATAAAGCGAGGCAATTAAGTGTCCTTTTTGCAATTGATAAGACTTTTAATCTACTTCTTCCATTTGAGAAGATTCAGTAGTTTCGGCAAGTGGAGGAACGTCTTCTTCGATCGGCTCCGCAGTATCACCCTCATCACCGATATCAAGGCCGAGTTTAATCATTTTGAAGATTCTCTCGGCGAAGGAAGAAGGTTCATCAAGAGTGAAACCGGATTGTAAAAGAGAAGTTTCAAACAATAACCAAGTCAAATCTTTTACAGTTTTGTCATTCTTGTCAACTTCAACTTTTGCTTTAAGGTTTTTGACGATTGCATGATGAGGATTAATTTCCATAATCTTTTTCGAGGCCATATAGGATGCCATACTTGAGTCACGAAGAGCTTGAGCTTTCATGATACGTTCAAAGTTGGCTGACCATCCATATTGACCAGTTACAAGTACACAAGGTGATTCGGAGATACGATTAGAAACAGTGACCTGTTGAAATTAGTTATTCAAAGTAGAAATTTTAGTATTAATTAACAATATGTAGATTTTGATGCTAAAAAATAATAAAAATACCTTTTCAATTTTATCACCGAGAATTTCTTTTATTGTTTTGCATAAAGGTTCGAATTCTTTCTCTTCCTCTTCACGTCTCTTTTTTTCGTTCTCATCTTCGTCAAGTTCTAAACCTTCTTTGGTGATGTTGACGAGTTTCTTTCCATCGTATTCTTTGAGCTGAGAAACAGCGTATTCATCAATTGGATCAATCATGAGCAAGACTTCATAACCTTTCTTTTTCAATACTTCGATGAAAGGTGAAGCCTCGACTGCTTGACGATTTTCGCCGGTAATATAATAGATAGACTTTTGTTTTTCTGGCATACGAGTGACATAATCTTTAAGAGAAGTCACTTCGTCTCCGGATTTGGTCGAATAGTAGCGAAGGAATTCGGATAATTTTGCGCGATTCTGCGAATCTTCGTGTATACCCAATTTGATATTCTTGGCGAATGCTTCATAAAATTTGTTGAAGTTTTCCTTGTCTTCTGCAATTTCAGTGAACAATTCCATACATTTCTTTACAAGATTCTTGCGGATAACCTTCAAAATCTTGTTTTGTTGAAGCATTTCACGGGAAATGTTGAGTGGAAGATCTTCCGAATCGACAATTCCCTTAACAAAGTTGAGATATTCGGGAATCAAATCTTCACAATCATCCATAATGAAGACCCGGCGTACATATAATTTGATATTATTTCGCTTCTTTTTAGTCTCGAAGAGATCAAATGGTGCACGACGAGGAACAAAAAGAATGGCACGGAACTCTAGTTGTCCTTCGACTGAGAAATGCTTACACGCCAAGTGATCTTCCCAATCGTTGGTTAATGATTTATAGAAAGCAGCATACTCATCATTCTTGATATCATCTGGATTTCGCGTCCATAAAGGTTTGGATTTGTTCAATTCTTCGGTTTCAATGGTCTTTTCCTTTATTTTTTTCTTCTTTTTCTCTTTATTTTCTTCTTCGTCATCTACTTCTTCGATCTTGGGTTGCTTATCATCCGTTTCTTCAGTCTTAACTTCTTCCTCTTCTTCGACTTCTTTCTCAATTTCTTTCTCAACAAGGAGTTGAATGGGGTAACCAATGAATTCGGAATGCTTTTTGACAACTTCTTTAATTCGCTTTTCTTCAAGATATTCAAGTTGATCTTCTTTCAAGTAGAGCCTCACTTCTGAGCCTCGTCCAAGTGGTTCATTGATCGTGTCGCGAGCGATCGTAAATGATCCACCAGCTGCTGATTCCCAGATATATTGCTCGTCGTCGTTATGCTTGGTAATGACTTGTACACGATCGGCGACCAGGTAGGCTGAATAGAAACCAACACCGAATTGACCAATCATGGAAATATCAGCGCCGGATTGGAGTGCTTCCATAAAGGATTTTGTACCCGATCGAGCAATAGTACCAAGATTATTGACGAGATCGGCCTATGGATTTCAAAAAAGGTATAACGCATAAGTTTGTGGATTCATATAAATTTCATCTTTTAACACAAGAATACCTTGGTCATTCCAATACCCGTATCTCGGATGGATAACACTTTATTTTCTCTATCTGGTGTAATTTTGATGTAGAGTTCTTTACAAGTATCGAGCTTTGATGGATCTGTGAGTGATTCATATCGGATTTTGTCCAAGGCATCGGAGGCGTTGGAAATTAACTCACGAAGAAAAATTCTTTGTTATACAAATAGCATTATCAATAAGCAGAAAGAATCGTAAAATTAGATCGTTATAAATGTAATTTTTCTTTTTTTTTAACAATGAATGCATATAATGATAGTATTTTTAACAAGGTAAAATAACACTGCTCCCTAAAGCATAAATTATGGGACACTCACTCTTTATTTGAGTAGAAGGTGTTGATAATAATGGACATAAGCTGAGAAATTTCAGCTTGGAAGGCAAATTGTTCTGCATCAGACATTTTGGCTTGTTTTTAGTAATTGTTAGTTGCGCGTCGTTAAAGTAATAAAAGGGTTGATAGTATATACAAGTAATTTAGGGTGTTTTGTTTTTAGAGCAACGATAACAATATTTTATTAAATGAGTATATGGGAAAAAAATTGCAAGAAAAGTTAAAGAGCAATCAGTGGAAGATGGGCCCTTTTAATAACAGGGGAAATATGGATGTCGTGGCCTTTTCACATTTTTTCCATGAGTTTCTATCACACATCACAGTGAACAGATGTCGTATGCATATCAATCAACCTATAATCTACCATGAAGAGAAAGTTCTAGCAATTTGGAGATCGAGCAAGAAATTTGCTTGGTAGATTGTGACAAATCAAGATTCTTTGTGTTGTATTACAGATTTTGATTAGTTAACGTGTTTTGTTATCGTTATTTAAATCTGGACCAAAATATGATCCAATAAAAAAAGACGGTATATTGTTACAGTTATCAAGAATTCAAATAGACTGAATGCATCAAAGAAATGTAATGTACAGATTAATCATGTCATATGTCTGCCGAAAAATTTTAATATCAAAAAATTGTTTGTACTTTTTTACTTTTAGCGCTGTGTGATGCTGTAACGCGGGACCCCAGATTTAATAGTTGTGGGAATTGAAAGTATAACCTTAAAAATTTTAGGACTAACCTTAAAAATTTTAGGACTAACCCTATACTCTTAGTAAATGGTGATCATGGTATCTATATGCAATAAAATCTATAAAATCGATCACAAGAATTTCTTTAATAAAATTAATTATGATATTGAAAGTTTATAATTAGAATAAATGTAATTCATTTTATTGTTTTTTATACAATAGCTTATATCACTTTCAAAAATTTATTATTAAAACATAGTAAAATTGAAAAATATACATAAGGGTAGAGATATTAATCCCCGGGATGGGGGGGGGGGAAGGGATCTGAACAAAAATCAGGTGATTAAAAAATTCTTAGCCAATCAACAAAATCAGGTGAAAGAGAGAGGGTAAGCTTTCTATTAATCAGAAATCATCTAATGAATGTCTTTACTCTAATAAAAAATTTTATTTTTTATTAATATTTTTTGTTTTTATATCAAAATAAAGCTAAAAATTTGTATTTATTTAATATATAGTAACAATAAAAAATGCAACAACATTAAAATTTATTAATAAAATATAATAAAATATAGATTTTTCTTTTTATATAAAAGTTTCTAATTTTATTAATTAATATTTTTTATTTTTAAAATAATAGTTTATATTTTAATTTATATTTTTTCTAATTGCAAAGTAAATTAATTAATTAATTTTAATTAGAAAAAATTAATCAATTTACTTTGCAATTAGAAAAATTTTCTCAAATTAAATTTAAAAATCTGAAAAAAATATATTAAAATATATAAATAAAAAATATTGATTAGTAAATTTAAAAATTTTATAGTTTCTGATAAAAGTAATAGCAATATACAGTGGCTAACGTAATTATGGAATCACGTGTTCAAATTTATTAATAAAACATAGTAAAAATTGAAATTTTCTTTCTATATTAAAAGTTTTGATTTTCTTAATGAATAATTTTTGTTTTTATATTAAAATAAAGTTTATAACTTATAGTTTAACATATATTTTT